GAGACAGACAGACAGACAGACAGACAGACAGAGAGAGAGAGAGAGAGAGAGAGAGAGAGAGAGAGAGAGAGAGGGAGAGAGAGAGACGTTGGAGATCTAGTGCACGCTGTTTACTCAACAAGTTACTGTGAAGTCGATTTTGTGATGAAAATACAAAACAAAAGAAAGCACGAGTACAAGAATCGCCGAAAATAATTCCTGTCCATTAAAAAAGCAACAAAAACAAAAAGAAATAAACAGCTAAATACAAACTAAAAACAACAAAAACAAAACAAAAACAACAACACAAAACGAACTCAAAACAAAGAAAACGGATTAAAGAATAAAAACTCGTCTATGGTACAACATTGTTTACAATGTGAGCACATTTCCCAGGTTGACAACAGAGTCCGCCCTTACCTCTCTCTCACTGGTCACCCACTGCCCGGCTTGACCACTCGTGTCCACGACAGGAACGCTTCTGGAGGTCTCGGACAGTGGTGGTTTGGGAAAGTTCTTGAGATTCATAGGCGGGCGATTTGTTGACAGGTGGAATTTGGAGAATGGACCATTTGGAGCGTTTCATCTTAGTTCACTTGATGGCACGGGGGAACACCAGTTTTGTTTGTTTGTTAGTTTGTTTGTTTTGTTTGTTTGTTTATGTGTATGTGTGTGAGGGAGAGATAGGGGGAGAGAGAGAGAGAGAGAGAGAGAGAGGTACTTAAACTAACACTACAGTCAACTCGAGTTAACTCAGTGTCACCATATAATCTGTCCCAGCTATTGATTTTGAGAAGTGCATTCCATACCTATCACCTTGTATCGTAGAAATCTCTCGTGTTGTGTGCACACGCAATGTTGATGTTAACGTGTTGTTCTTTTTTGTTGGTTTTTAAAATTAATTATTTAATTTTGATTTGTCTAAGGCTACCACAATAAAAAGTAATGTTCTAAGAATCTTACCGGAGATTATAAGCGGGCGGTTGGCGGGTGCTCTGGTGTGGTTTGCCCCTTCTTTCCTATCAAACATCTATCGCTCTTATCTCCCCTTCTTCTTTT